GGGAAAGACAGAGGCCAAGCAGGGCAGTTTGGCTGCCTGCCACCAACTCTTTGCAGCTTTGAGGGCTGCCAGGGTAAAGATTTTTGGCAGGAACCGATTGCAAAATATCCAGGGAGAGAAAGTACAGAGCCTGGAGTATGTTAGGGCCCAGTGGGGAATCCCGGAGCTCTGCAGGCAGCAGCCCAGCTGGGGCAGTGCGTTGCAGAGTGATGGGAAAGGATGGCTCCAGGCCTGACCCTCGTCAGGGCCCCGTTCCTGGAACTTGGGCCACTTCACAGGAAAGATGACTGATTTGTTTTCCTCTCCAGGATGGGAGGGAAATGACAGCCATCAGACCTGAATGGCTCCATCTCAGCTGAGACAGGCCTCCCAGCACCCACAGGTTTAAGGCAAGCAGAGCCACAGTCCTTACCCTCCATGCCCTAACTTGAGGAGGAGGGTTGAGGACGAGAGAGAGAGAAGAAGGAGGGGGTGAAGCCTGCTCCATCCAGGAAGGGTGGTGCTGGTACAGCTAGCTGTCCTGGAGAGCAGTGAAGGTTTTATCCTGCGTCAGCTGTCCATGGCAGGCGGATAACCCCTCCTCCAGGTGCAGAGCTGTGGCTAAGCAGCACTGGCAGAGACGGGCTTCACTTTCTTTCTGTGTTTCTTATTGGTGCCTGACTGTGGTTCCCTTGTCTCATAAACGTGATCTAGGGCGAGTCCTATCTCAAGCCTTGGTACTGTGTAGCTGATACCAAGTACATATTACATAAAAGGTGGAGGGTTATTGCACCTTTATTGCCTGAAGAGTAGGTCAGCCCCCAGCTTGGGTGAGTTCAGGCTTTTCTGAAAATAGTCAAACCCTGGTGCGAACATCCATCCTGAGGGAAAGTGGCTGGCAAATGATTTTGCAGACTTCCAGAGGGAGATATTTCTGGGACCTCCTGCTGCCAAGCACAGAGAGGTACTCAGCAGGTACCTGTGAAGGGCTGAGGGGAGGGGATTTTTCCTTCTACCCCAACAGTGCTTTTTGAGAGCCTGAAACTCTGCAGTGTCCCCCACTGCACAAATCCTTTCCACGGGGAGGGAAAAAGGAGCTATTTCTTGTGCTATCTCCTGACCAGAACGCTGAGCTGGGAAGGTGCTCTGCAGGGAAGGTGCTCTGTAGGATTAATTGTCACTGCTTATGACACCAACTTTGCAAAGGCTCCTATGCACCAGGATTCAGCCTGCTTCTCCCTTCTCATCCCTTGCACAGGCTGGAGTGTGGCTTGGCATGACTGCTGAAGGTAGGAGACGGGAGGACAGCGGGCAGCACATGGGCGAAGCAAGAGCAGGAACAGGGCAACTTTAATCCTAAAGGAAGGCTCATGCATAAGACAAGGATGCCAGGATGATGCTAACTGAACCAGTCAATTCATCGCAGCCCACAGATTCAAGGGTAAGAAAGCTGCAGAGGCACTGTGCTCATGGCATGAGTCCTGCAGCTGCTTTTCATGCATCTTCTCATTCCCTTTCCCTGCCTGCACTGCACGGTCTGGGGAGCCCAGCCTGCAGCAGGGCTCTGTGGAGGGAGCAGATAAAGAGCAGCTCTCTGGCCTCCGAGATGGAGATGGAGCAATTGCCAGCAGTGGAAATGCTATGGCATAGGAACACCTTAAGCTGACCTGAGAGCTGGAAGAGGGGTTACAGGTAGAGGCACTCAAGGAGGGAGAGCAGTGAGCTGCAGGAGCAAAGAAGGGGTCTTTCTGTCAAGCCAGGAGACGAGGCAGTGTATCTGTGGCTGGAGGTGCAGGATTTCTCCAGCCACAGATACACTCCCACATCTCCTGGCTTGGCAGAAAGATCCCTTCATCACCAGTGGTGGCAGATGTGGTGTAGTTAGAGAAGGAGGAGGTCTGCACAACCGGGAGCAGCACCCAGAGGGGATGCTCAGGGAAAAGCAAGTGCACAGGCCTGGGAGAACACCGACTATTAAGCAGGAAATTTCCCACAGCATGGCTGGGGCTTTCCGTGTGTCCCTACTGCTCTTTTCCCAGGAGTGCTGGGATGTCACCAGAGCCGTGCAGGGCCCCTGTGCCAGGTGCTGCTCAGAGGCCAAAGCAAGCCATACTTCAGGGATGCTGATGGTGGTAGGGAAGTGAGTTCTTGTTTCTGCAGGACCTGAATGAACCAGGACCCTCATGTGCAACCTATCATTGCCATACACCACCCAGACATCACTTTAAAGCTGGGCAGCTAAGCCTGGGTAAGGAGCCAGCCCCAAGAGCAATGCATTGAGCAGAGCAGTGTGAGACAGATAGGTTTTGGGTCCCTTTCTAGCCCAGCTGTGTGGCTGG